AGACAATGAGTGTAGATTTGAAAAAGCGACAGTCTCAGGCTTTTAGCATCCCCTTTTTCATTCCCTCTAGGAGAAAATTTTGTTACAGTCTTATTCTATCAACCTGTGACTCTGTGTATCAACCTGTATATGAATAGTGGCATACATTATTGTACAGATCATCTGGGGTAATTTTGTTCTTGTGCTTTTTACCAGGCAGGCTGATGAGAAGTATGCAACCAAGAGCTTTGTTAAACAAATACATAAATAAAAATTGTTTTCAGCACAATCAAGATGTTCTGGGGAATTTTTTCCATTTAAGTTTCATTACGTTTAATCTAGTTTTGTCATAAGGGAATCATTCTAGTAGAAAAGTCTCAGACAGTTCTTGAGTGCAATCACCTTAGTGACACAAATGCACTTCGTAAGATCAGCAGTATATTAAAAGTCAAGTATGCCAGTAAGGTAGAAAGACTTTGATTACATACTAAAAAAACCTCTTTGCCTTTTGTCTAATTTTAACAGATACATTGCTGGCATTTTAGAACCACCATGTAACCCTTAACAATACAGGAAAATGACAGCATGGTGTAATGTGATCCTTTTAATCTTTTGAAAGATGGTTAATAAGAAGTAGACAATATTCAGGGTGACACTGCATGGGTTACTTTTTGAAGAAGGAGACTAAAATATTTAGGAACAATTTCTTTACTTAGGAAGAATTTCATTACTGAAAGAGTGGTCACACACTGGAACAGCCTGCCCAGGAGGTGGTTGAGTCACCATCCTTGGAGGTATTCTAGAAATGTGTAGATATGGAACTTCAGGGCATGCTCTAGTGGCTGAGATTGTAGGGGGTTTTTATGTGGCTGTTATTTGATGGTGTTTGCGTATGTTTGGGTTTTGTTGTGTGTGTTGTTGTTTTGCTTATTTTGTGATAGTTGAACTCACTGATCTCTTTCCAGCCATGACTATTTTGTGATACTGTGATTTTCAGCTTGATTAATGCTCTGTATCCAGGTTCATAGGAGCTCCATCCTTCAGATTTATATGGTATACAAACTTTCAAAGAGCTGCTTTTTTTCTGAATATACCATGCTATTTGTATATCAGCAAGACAGACTTTCTGGCTGTTTAGTTCAGTGTTGAGCAGTCATTTGGGTTTGCTTTTCATCTTTATTCTTATTTTCCTGTTGAGTTGAGTATTTCACTTCATTTGCAGTGGGAGCACATTAAGAACCTTTAGTACTGTAGCTTATATTGGCTTTCTAGGTTCCCCTACACCTTTCAGACCTATTTCTTAATCCTTTTACCCTTTCTGCAACTGCGTGCCCTCCCTCTATCTTGGTGGAACATGGAGCATAGCTCCCCAGCAGAACTGACTGTTCTGCAAGACCACATGTCACAACAGAGCCCTGGTTCCTGCAACCAGTGTAGCTGTGGTAGAACAGCTGTGGTATTCCCCATCTGGTCCTCGGGATCAGTACAATCTCTAGCATCTCTGTACCTTCCTTCTCAATACTCCTCCACCTACCTCTGTGCTGAACTGCCTTTCTGGGTAGTCTCAACATGTTTATTCCATTTTCTCATGGAATTTAATCAAGGGAGCAGTGACAGAAATTAACCAGTATCATATCTGATAGGTTGACTAGAGTTCCCTGGGTTTGCAAGAGAAAATATGGGAGCTAGATTTCTACCTGAAATCCAGTTTGCAGAGTCCAGATTATTCCTAAGTATTTGGGATGAGATGGGTGTATACCATCTTGATTTGCTTGACCAGGAGCATCTGCCTTCTCTTCCCCTATGCATTAGGTGAAAGAGGAGAATTCAGCATAATGCCAGAGACCAGAAGAACTGTTCCTGGCCCAAGTCCAGTACTGCGATGGCCCCAAGGACTGCAAGGCAGGCCTGTAGTTCCAGAAGCAGCAGGGTTTCCTGCTGGCTCAGCA